CCCACATTCTCTCATCTTCTCATCCACTCAAAGTTAATTAACTTTTACCTCCATTTGCATCAAAGTTAAAAATAATCTAAAATTTTAAAACACTTAGCTTAAAAGTTTTAAAACTGAACCAACGAGGGGAAAAAGTTAATTAGAAACTAAAGGTTGACAATTTTCAATATGAAAATCCGATCTTAAAGGGAGTGTTCGCGAAAGAACAAAAGGGGTCTAAGCTGAATCCTATTCAATTTTTTATTCGATATAAACAAATTTTGCTTCTATCTGCTGAGTCTACATATACAGAGAAATTGTAAAATAATATTAAATTATTTACGAGTTTGAGTGAGTTCTTATCAGGTATACGCTTTTAGGCATTAAGTATTTTCTACCATTTTCACCGCAAAGACAAGACAGATAAAAGTATACCTAGTTCATAGATATACAATCATAGCAATCCTAGTTATAGCAATCATATCCGAATTGGATTAGGATTCAGACAATAATACTTTCATTTAAAACAGTGAAATTGTATACGATATTATAAATTATAAAATATATAAAATGATAAAATTTCTAGATTGACAAGAAAAAGTACTTCATTGCAAAATAATAAAGTTAAAATTACAGAAAATTATCATTAACAGATAGGTACTAAAGTTTTATATATGTCACAGGCAGCCGTAGTACATTTGAATTTACGTGCCGGGTCAACCTTTCCGGTCCCATTTTGTACTGTACCTAGCTCTATGGACAGGACTATCCGGTGCAACAAGGTTGACGCGATCAAACGTTAATTCTTCATGTAGGTTATAAAGTACATGTTTGAAAATCACCCTGAATGGGAATCGGGGAAAAAATGTATCATTTGTAAAAAATAGGTTGACCAATTTTTTTTTCACTATAATTTTACGTGAAATATCAATCTTTTGACATTCAAGGTCTTGAAATGGTGCGTCAAATTGTTAGAGTGTGTCATTTCTTTTTTAGGGTTAACTTTTTTTTATAAGATTTATAGCCATTTTGTAAAATTCGTTAAATTTTCGAATACTGTATCTTTTTACTTCTGAATTAAATGGTCAATTTTCATGATCATGTCATTTAATGATATTCTATATAAAAAGAATGTAGCGATTAATGTGTCATCAGAAGTTATTTGATTTTTGAAACAAAAAAATCTTTTTTAAATGTATTCATAAATTTAGTAGTTTTATTTTGCATATTTGTACATTTAGAACGAAATATAGATTTCCAATAAAGACGGTTTAGCTATCTACGTAAACCATTAATATATGAATTAAAAGCAATTTCAAGTTAATATTATGTATCTAATTATTTTTAATTTTTTTCAGACTGTGTCAAATAAATAAAAAATCATAATTAATGTTCTTTCCTCATTGCGTATTTCTAAGATATATATATATATATATATATATATATATATATATATAAATATATAATTGCGTATTTATAAAATGTATATGATTGCGTATTTCTAAGATATATATGTGATTGCGTATTTCTAAGATATATATATATGATTGCGTATTTCTAAGATATATATATGATTGCGTATTTCTAAGATACCTATTTCTAACCTATATATATATATATATATATATATATATATATATAATTGCGTATTTATAAAATGTATATGATTGCGTATTTCTAAGATATATATGATTACGTATTTCTAAGATATATAATATTGTGCAGTATTTCTAGGATATATATGTGATTGCGTATTTCTAAGCTATATGATTGTGTATTTCTATAATATATATGATTGCAAATGATGATTTTAATTGCGCGTCCATTTCTTTTCCGACTAACATGTTCACAGAGTTAAAATCTAATTTTAAACACATTTTTTTCTTAATTTATATTTTAAAAATACATTGAAATCTCACTGTGTGACATATTAATACATGAATTGGCGTCTGGGGAGATTTTATGAAGGGGGAAAGAGGGGGGCTAAAAGGGGAACTAAAGTGGGTGTGATGATGTTAATGTTTAAAATTAACTAACTGAACAACATAGTTTTTGATTTTATGGAAATCAAATCTAAAAAAAAGAAATGTTACAAAAAAGAGACATAAGTGCACTGTAATTATCGCCATACAATGTTTTAAATTATTAACGATCAAAAGTTTTACGTTTGCAAGCAAAAATGCACTAATTTTTGCAGTCTAAGTGTCGAATGAAATGTAGTTCAAATCTCTTAAAACTTTGCAATTCAGGACAGTGCACACTCGAGAGCATGCTCCGAGAGAAATCATTTTTTTAATTATTCTTACCTGTGTTTTGTATATCTATATATTGTATCTTACTTTTAACTACTTATAGGCCTATTTACATCATATTTAAAATAAGAAAAAGTCAGCATATGTTGAAATATAAAATATGTGACAATATAATGCATCAATATAAATCAGATGAACATTAATGTACTAATGTTTAATGGAGATATTTGTTAAAAATCAAATATTGGCCTGATTTAACCCCGCCCCCCCCCCCCCCCCTACCCTTCAATAGTTTCAAGTTATGTATTATGTCAGATCTTAAAAGGGGGGAGGGGAAAGGCAAGAATTTTACATTCAAATATAAATAAACATATCTAGATATATGTGAATAAGTAAGTAATACTAATTATACAAAAATATATATATTTACATAAAGTTGGTAGGAGTTTATATCAATGCCATAAAAACGACTTTAGATTTCAATTTTGATTTATATCTTGCTGTTTAACAACATGGATACACATAAACATTCAAGTCAAGAGAAGTTGTCAATTGAAAAAGCTTCTCTTTGATAACTGGCAAACTTGTAATTCTAAAAAAGCTTTTTAAAAATGTAAACTTACATAAAAAAATCGTCTTTCTTGTATTGATATAATCGCCTACCACTGTATTTACAGATTTAAAATTACTATGCAAGTTTTGAAAAAGTAGATCAAAAAAGATCAGTTAAAAATGAAATATCACTATTTTGTCTATTGCTAAGAGTACTTTCGGATGTTTTATCTATTTAAAGAGCTAATTAACTATGAGGAATAATATTTCGAATAATCTATTTTGCTTGTAGTAAACCAGTCTACCATTTATTGAAGAAGAAAGTAAGTAAGTTTAGAACATTTCTGCTACGAATTATTGACCTTGTAGCTCCTCCGAGTTTGATTTTACAAGCTCTTAAGCAATAATCAATAAGAATTTTGCCAATTAGATTTTAAAAACTAAAACTAATAAACAAGTGCTTTCTAGTTTTAAAAATGTTCATGTTTAGGTATGTAGCATTTTCTGTTGTAATGATTAGTACGATCTTTATTATCCATGTTATCAATATATGTCTTATCTATTTCAATGTTGACCCTGACCGGCCAATCCGGTCAGTTTGATATACCTGTATATGAATAAATTAGTACTACATGAAACGTTGTGTTATACGGACGTATACGTACAGAGCCTTGAGTTTTGGCTAGAGATTGAGAGTCTTGAGTTTTGGCTAGAGATAGAGTCAGTGAGACTATAATTAGACTTTGAGTAGAGTAATCTCGGGACCTAGATTTATTACAGGGATAGGCCTCCGTTAGAGAGAGATAAAATCAAAGTGACACTATAAAATTGCCCTTGTCTTGAAAATGGATGCAACTTTCTAACCTTATCAAAATATCTTTGTAAAATATAAATATAAATAAGCTTTCCATTCAAAACATGTTTTTAAAAAATCGAAAATATAGAAAGTCTTTGCAACAAATGGCGATTTTCTAATCTGTACTTCTTGACAACTCAAACCGTCTGGTTACAAAGATATAGAACTATGAAAAATATTAATGCTTGTTGCAAAAACTCTATTCATTTCCTAATGTCGCATGCACGATAAATATGATCACGTGCGTGCTTGATGGCGGAAAAATAATAAAATGCGAATAAATGTTAATGATGGTTCAATCATCAACTATTTCAATACAAATATCACCCACTGTCAAGTTGGAATGATAAATCGAATAATGATATAAATATTTAATTTTTAGTTAGAAAATTTTAAACTAAAATTTGCATGAATTATAACTTTAAATCATTTGTTTCTAAAAAGGTCAAAACTTTTGAATGTTCACCTAGCTGGTTAAAATGATTAAAATTAAGCTGTTTAACATTTATTATTTCATTTCTCATGAAAATAATTATAAAACAATTAAAATAAATGTTGCTAAAAAATAACTTACGGTTCATTTTGTCTTGGTAGTAGAGTGCCGAGTTCTTTTATCCGATCGTTTATGTTGTATCGTCGTCTTCGTTCAACTAAAATCAATCAATCATATTTTAATATTCTTTTGGATTTGTTAGCCCCCCCCCCCTGTGTGACTAAATACAAAGCGTTTGGTAATATTTTGCTAATCTTTCTCGGTTTAAAACATAAATTTCCAAATATTTTAATAGATCCTGTTGCCTGTGACGAACAATTATTGCATAATTTTTAAATGTTCTAGATACAAGATGCTAAGTTTGAAATATTCTCATTTGTTAATAAACTAAAATGAAGCAAAACTTGGGGCCTAATATAATATACGTCGTCATTCGTTCACATAATAACTACGCAAATTTATGTAATGCGAATAACCCATTCCATGTTGATAGATAGATATAACTTCGTTATACCCATAAATGTGGTTTAATGCGTTATAGACAGTAACCACTCATAACTTGTAATTACGCTGTAAATAACCAAAATCTAATATGAACTACGAAATATAATTCAGTTGAATGAGACTGTACTTTTGATTAAGTTATCAGAAGCCTAAGCCTAAGCTTTGGTACTCGTTGCAATGTTTGAAAATTAAAAGATTAATCAGAATATATTCATTTTGTCAATTCTCACCATGCATTTTAAGAGGAGTATTGTGACAAAAACCAGTCACCCCCCTTGACCCCCTAAAATTACTCGCCGTGACCCCTTCCCCCATTCGTTTTGAATTCGTATTTGCTTCTGTAATGCTGGGTGTACAGAAAACTCTCAAATTTTACTTAATAAATCAATTTCGACCCCCCCCCCTCTTTTTAACCCAGTGGTTGCGCCTTTTGAGACATGTCGTCTTTGTATATGGAACAATCAATAAATCAATAAATTGACATATTTTAATTTTGTTCCCAATAGAGGAATGATTGTTTACATTTGGTATCTGTTGATCAGATTTGGTTTATCTCAATATTAATGGATAGAAAAAGGTGACTTTAACAGAGGGAGGGAAGGGTTATCTGTTAGAATAATGTATCCGAGCCACATTGTTTTTAATAGCTCTTGCCTTGGCCAACTCATGCAACTCGTGTTATTCATAACTTTTAAAATCTAAATGTACAAAAGTGCAGCAATTAAATACGTCCACGGAAATTTTGAAGTCTTTTCGAATAAAAAAGTAAATTAAATCTTTAAAAACTTTGTTACCAAAAATTGTCACATAAGGTGTACAGTATAATTAACGCAAAAATGCTCAACGTTAAACTGCAGGGGCTCCCTCAACGCCCCCACTCCCCCTTGTCTATCCCAGAGCCTGGAGCAAGGGGACCAGGTTCCAAACCAGATTTAATTGTCTCTTGACGATGGGCCCTGTTATCCTTCCGCCATCTTGATTTATGATTTTTAAATGCTTTTTTAGAAATTTCATATGATTATTTTTCGGCAACTAGATCTGTTTAAAAGTAAAAGAGTCAAGAAAATGTAAAAAAATATGATTATAAAATATTTTTTTTTGTATCTTAGAATAATAATGGCCACCAAAAAAAAACCAAACCAGATCATGTTATCAAAATATAACATTTAAAGGGAGNAAAGACTCAATTCCTTTGTTTAAAATTTTTTTATTTAATTTGTTATGAATGCTATAAATTGTTAAAAACTAAAGAGGGGGGTTCGAAAACATAAAAAAGGAACCAAAACAGTACAAACTAGATAGAAAAAGAAGATAAAATTTAAGGGATATACAACGTTGTGATCTCGTAGCTCCTCTAGCTTTTTTTACGCACGATGGAGTATGAAAGTAGCAATTTATTAGATTACATATATAGATCTACAAAAAAAAGTTATAATTGAAAATATATAAGATTTCATTCTTGACTGAAATTTTCTTTATTTTAACTAAAATATGAACTAAAATAAAATAAAATCTATTATTTCTATCTTATGCTTTTGTAATGAGAATATGACCACAACCTTCCTTGATATGGCACAGTTTATTTTGCGGTAGTTGCATTTGATTTTTCCATTACTAGGCTTATAGGGCGCTTCGTGCCCATCTTCTATTTCAATTGTGAACATTTTCTGTTTGTATAGTGACGTAACCAAAAAAGTTCGTGGATTTTTGGTTCAGGCAAATTTTTGAAATTTTGATCATTTATAATTTTTCCCTGGGGTCATACGAGATCCTAGGCAAAAATTGGGCCCGATCGGTTCGGTCGTTTTGACGTTTATTGGAAACAACTAGACAGAAAGACACACAGACAAGCCAAATATATTTTTTGTCATAAGCAACACTTGCCAAAAACTATATACTTGCCATAATTGTTATATTTGCAAAAATAGACAAATTGGACATAACCTTTTATCCCTATTTTCTCGTAATTTTGAAAGAACAAAACTAGGGTTATTTTGTGTTTTTTTTCAAGAATCATAATTTTTAGATTAGGGTAAAAATAAATGTGACAAATTATTTCACTGATGAGAGACGACCTCCAAGTCTTATCTCAATTGCTACTTCACAACTTTAATAATAACAATGTTAGGAAAAATACTTACTCATATTGTGATTATCTTTCTTCTGTCGATCCTTTGCCTGAATTGAACACAAATATTATTTGTAGAAATTCTTATTTTGTAGATGATAAGTTTAAATTGGTTTCCCAGACACTAAAGGGAGAGCAAGTCCAATTATTCTTTTGTAATCTTTCAATAATTGACGTAGATGTAGGGATCCTTCATAAAAATACATTTGGTTCCCTGAGCTCTGAAATCTTCTTCACTCAAGGGTTCCTGCTTCATCTCCTCATCCTCCTCGTACATACTCATCCTACTGCTGTTCTACAATACAATATATTATGGGTTAAGTCCAACAAATTTATAATGTGCCAAAATGAAAGTTTTTAGTTTTTACTTTTTTCTGGTAAAAAAAAGCTGTTTAACATTAATTACAGCACTATTATTACTATATAGCACGGTTATAATGAAATTAACAATATTATCATAAGTTTGTTAATGTTTACCTGTACATGAGAAAAGAAATCAATTATGGCTGCATTGTTGACATTTCTGTCCACATTCAAACTGTTTAAATCTTCATCTGTTAGTTTAGAATTAGAACCCCTGCACCAACATTTCAGTCAACAAATAGTAGGAAATCAACATTTCAGTCACGAAATAGTAGGAAATCAACATTTCAGTCAAGAAATAGTAGAAAATCAGCATTTCAGTCAACAAATAGTAGCAGATCAACATTTTAGTCAATTATTATTTGATAAAAGTAAATTCAACCTATATGAAGCATAAAGTCTGACGGCGTCAACTTTGTTGCACCGACTAGTCCTGTCCATAGAGCTTGGTACAGTACAAACTGGGACCGGAAAGGTTGACCCGGTTTGGAAATTCAAATTAGTCTCACAATTAACAGAAAAATCCCAAATTAACTAAACACATTTTGTTTGAAAATTAAATCAACCCAAAATCCGGGAACATCAACTTTGCATATCGTCGACTTAAATTAACATGAACATGCCCTGTGCAGTGTGCACATCATAAATAACTGAAATTGACGCTAAAAGTCCTGAATCGATAACACATTTTTTTACATCTGCATTTTTAAAATCTAATTCCAACTGTAATCTAAATTTTCAGAGTTATATCTATAAATCAATTTTAAAAGGATTTATTATATATCAAACATTGTCGCAGATGTAAGTCAGAGTTTATAAATGAGTAAGACCCATGAAACTGTGGTGTAGGAAGACGACTTTTCGACTCATAAATGACTTGGAATGGTAAACCTAAAATACTGCGGTTGTGCAGTGTAAATCGATCCAATTCACTTTAAAAGTTGATTTCCAAACTCTTGTTAAAACGTTTTATTTCAAAACAACATCATATGCACATTGATTAAATGGCGTCTTCCCGCTCCATTGTTTTTTGGGTTTCACTGTATCAATATTATAAAGAATAGAATCAATTAAAAAATCGCAACGTTGACTAAAAATTCTCCTTGTAATCTCTAAACAGCTGTACAATAGTTCATCTTCGACTGCCTGAATAATACATTTTTTATACAGGGTGTCAACATATATATTGTCAATACAGGGTGTGAAAATATGTATTTTTTATACAGGGTGTCAAAATACATATTGTCAATACAGGGTGTCAAAATATATATTTTCAATACAGGGTGTCAAAATATATATTGTCAATACAGGGTGCCAAAATATATATATTGTTAATACAGAGTGTCAAAATATATATTGTTCATAAAGGGTTCAAAATACATGTTTGTATAAACAGGGTGTCAAAAATTATGTTTGTTTTTTCAAAATTCTTATTTGTATAAATTTTCCTACATCCCCATTATTTTATTCGGATGGCAAATCCATCTGAGAACCAACATTGACTGAATGAGATATCCATGTGTTTCTCCTTGAAAATCGATCATTTTAATCGTGTTTCCCTGTAAAAGTTAATTTTGGTGTATATCTCCTGCAAAAGCAATTGCGGAAATTGCAAAAATTTTCGAGAGATAGAAAAAATGACATTATATTATATCTTCCGCTATATTGTTCAGATATATATTGATAAGATTATGATTCAAAGAGTACTTTTTTGAATCGGACATTGCTTTCTTTCATGAAAAAGTTTGCTTTCAATTTTCAATTAAATCAAAAATTATTGTATGCTGTCTGTACAAGATACAATTGCTAGGATAAATTAAGATAAATATAATTGTTCCTTGTTTAGAAATAAGATAATTATTTTATGCGAACACTTGTAAAATTACCAATATAGAGTGCTCCAAATGAAAGAAATTTTTTTTATTAATAGAATTCAAAAAATCTGCATTATCAAAAATTTCAGTTTCATTTACAGAATTTTAACAGCAAAACAGAAAAAAAAGTTGACAACAAAATTCAGTGCCAACAGATTTAAGATTAGTTTCAGTGGAATTTTATGTTTAAAACTATATTGTTTTATATCTCATAGTGTGAAGTACAATGAGGATGCAAATAATGCATAGCCTACGGCATTTAACCATTAATATTAAGTGCAAAAAAAGATGAAATACAAAAAGAAGCCGTGAACTAGATCATCAATAATAATATCTGATGCAATCGTGTCCCCAAATTCAAGAAACAAATACGTATTTTAAAGAAAATTTTGCGGAACGGGTCTTGATTTGACATAATATTCCCAAAGAACGTAAAGTAACTAAACATCCCTGGGTTATGGAATCCTAGGTCGGTAATGTTGGTAAAAATGCATTATTTCAATTCGCTATATATTTCAATTTTCATTATTAAAGTTGTGCGAGGGGTAAATTTGTTCTTTAATGTTTATTTTTCTCTGAACAATGGGATTTCTTGATAATAATTCACACTGCAAAGAAATATATAGAAAGAGCTAGTTCAAGAAACACAAAATGGACTTTTAGTAAAATTGGTTTTATCACTATAACGAATTCTTTAACAAAAATCTAGTATGTTTTTATTATTAAAGGGATTTGAAGCCCAATTTTGAGTGACATTTTATAGATAAATTACCATAAACAATTCACAATTGCCCTTTCACTAAAAGTTAGGCTAAATCCGTCATAGTATGCAGTGATAACCAGTAAACTCTGGAATATTAAGACGACTTTTAGACTCAATGAGCATGCGACACATCAATTTTGCATTGTGTAAACAGAATATTTCAGTTAATAATTGATTTTATAGGTGTCTTGCAAAACTATTTGCTTTGTAGCAATATAAAATACATTTAAGTATTGCTGTAAAGTCGTCTTCCTGTTTCAGAGTATTCTGTTTATCGCTGTATAGGGCTAAATTATTAAAGGAACTGTATGTGTAATTTCAAGTAATTTATCTGATCAATAATGTGGAAGATGTCATAATTTTCTCATTTAAAAAATATTTAGCTCGGACAAGATCCTCTATTGTTTCTGTTGTAAGAAATCCGCAATTTACTTTCATAAAGAAAATTTTATAAATTTTCAAAATGAAGAACATGGATATATTATTAATTCTTTTAATGGTACCGTTGTATTCGGACATGGAACTCTTTACATAAAAAATCACAAAAAGAACAGTCGCGTTAAATCATGATAATTTATTCCCGTAATATACAATGGTTAAGCGTATATGGGGCACAAAAATAAATACATGTTTGAAAATAGTTAAAAAACCTGTTCTAAACCAGGCTTTGATAAAAGATTAGCTGTTCTCTGGAGGTTCAGGGTATCCCAGGAAACATGACAGTAGCAAGACAACCTAAACGTCGTCCTTAATTTGTTATTTAATTTGCTGCTTTAATTTAGAAGTAAATTCTAGAGATAATAATTATAAAATAACCCTGGTCCTTGCTTTTCCAAAATGTGCTCGTCCTTGTTTCTACTTTCAATATTACCCGAAATTCTAATAATATCTCCGGTAATATTGACAGCACAAAAAAGGCAATCTACTTTGGAAATGCCAAAACTATGAGAATTGTCTGGTTCTTGTTTCAAGAATCGTAAATATTAAAGTAGGTTGACGACTGAATGTCACAAATAAGTTCCAAAATCAAAGACGACTTTGCCTTTAAATAATCTTGCTACTGCCATGATTCGTGGGACACCCTATTCGTCTAGAATTGTACAATCTTAAAGAGATTTATTTGAAATCAAGCATAGATTTTTTGGCATAGAATGTATTTAACAACCAAAAATATTTTAAAATTTAAACTCTAAAAAATCTCACCACGAAATATTGGATATCTTAAATTTTAAAACCAGTGGTAAAATGGTTGTTTTGTAAAAATTCATTAATTTTGTTGAATTTTCAATGCTTTTAGGAAAAATCACTTAAAATGATATAACTGTAGAGTGTAGACCTATTGTTTGATATTGAATTTAAAGGGACTGTAAGCCAAATTTAAAGGGACTGTACGCCAAATTTAAGTAGCCCTCCATGTAAAGATGACAATCACTAATCCTCAACGGTATCCTTGCAACCTTTATATCATTAATGTGGAAGATATTATCGTTTGTCTAGGGTTAAAAGTGTTTAATTCTGATACTCCTGATGTGTTTTCTTGAGGTAAAAAGTCACAGAGAAACCACAATTGAAAATAAACAGTTTTCAAAATTATAAACATTAATATCTCTAATCTCATACTTGGTCTTGCAGACATAGCTTTTAGGGGTACCATCGTGAATCGGATATTACCATCTTTGCATGGAGGATCACTTTAAATTACCATTTCAGTCCCTTTAAAACTTAAAATAATATACAGGGCATATCTTTCATCGTAGAGCTAAAACTAAACTTAGTTGTTATCTAGAGTTCTAGTGGTTACATAGATAATAATACATTTTCACCACAGATACCAGATATATGTTCAAATATTTATAATTCCTCTCCCCCCCCCCTTGTACCCCTGGTTCTTATCTATTTCATCTTGAGGACTGAGTTTGCCCCACCCCCCTGCCGGGTCTACCCTGATCATAATAAACGTTAGATAAAAATATACCCTCTTAAGATACAAGTGCTCTCAGCCCATAAATTAAAGCCTGTATTTCTAATCCTTATTTGTGGGCAATTAATATAAGATAAAATTCTTTCTGAAACTAAAAATGTGCATTTTTTAACCCATCAAAATAAATGTTGCCCACAAAATAATATTAGATGGAAATAGAAACAGACGTAAGGCACGTCTTTTTTATTTGTATACTATTTTTTATCTGCATATGCGATTTAAATGAATCTATACATAAATTTAGCTTGTATGTCAGGGTGTTTGTATCCAATAAACGTCAAAACGGCTGAACCGATTGGGCCCAAATTTTGCGTGGATGCTCACGTGACCCCAAGGAAGGTTTATGAATGATCAAAATTTAAAAAAATGTGTGTTTAAAAGTTAAAAATTTTTGTTAAATTTTGAAAAATTCCCAAACTTTTTTGTTCTGTTTTTGTTTTATACAAAGAGAAGATGCTCACAGATAAGGCCAAAACTAAAAGTTGAAATAGAAGATGGGCGTGAAGCGCCCTAAAAGCCTAGTTAGTATATTAAGGCAATTATCTAAATAAAAGAATGTTCTATAGACCTAAAACATGATCAAATTAAAATAAATTGAAATAAAAGTTTATGGTGTGGGTTTTCTTTAGAACGCATAGTTTGCCATTAAATGTTAATTTTTGTATTTGCTATTTATGTATTTTATTTATTATGTATTTTAAATATTTAAGTACTTTATATATTAATTTTTTTTCTTTTATTAAATTTGTATTTTAATTTAAACTTAACTTTTCTCTTTTGTTCCTTAACTTATAGATACATTGTAAATTGACATTTTTTAATAAAGTTTAATCTGCAAAAAAATTTCACTTTTGATTTTAATTAAAATTCCAAACAATATTGAGGTGCTATATGGATAGATTCTGTTGTCCGACTGAAATTTTATTTTCTAAATATAGAACATGTGACATTAGACACCTTTCTTTGATAAAATCTAAACAAAAAATCATAAATTGTACACACCCATCACCGGTAAGATTTAAATAGTTTAAAGAAACATTAGATTCACAACGGTACCCTTTAAAAAGATATCCATATTTTTCTAACTAAAGTTTAATTTGTTTTAACTGTGGTTCAATTTAAAAGTCCCTTTTTGGATTCATGCTGCAGAGATAATGAAGTAAAATGTCCGAATTCGACAGTTTCAAGAACGACGATATCTTCTTTATTGTTGATCAGATAAAGTTTGTTTGATTACTGTGTTAATCTTCTAGAATTACGTTTACAAACTGCGTAAAGGAATTGAGTCTTTGCCACAAACTCAAATTTTCTAAACCCAACATCTTTGCAACCAGATGGTTAAAACCTTTGCTTTTTCAAACCTAGATTATTTGATCTAACAGGTTTTAAAGTTTGATATATCTAAGGGCTACGACATCGGGTTTCAAAGATATAGGGATTAGAAAATCAGCCTTTTTGTGGCAAAGACTCCTTTGTATTTTCACTTTTTAATTAATTTAGATGTTCCGTTAGCGGATGTTCCGTTAGCGGATGTTCCGTTAGTGGTAACAAATTCGGTCTCTCAAAATTTTACTAGTAATCCCTGACTTAATGTAAACTTTCAAAACCTAGTAATATTAATTATATTGTAAACGTATTAATGTAAATTAGAGGGGATAATACCCAAAACAGCAAAAGCTAATCCCCACATAAGTGTATGTTTATTTTGTTAGCAATAAACTATATCTTATCTTATCTTATCTAATTAAAATTAATAGAAATTGATTAGAAGGAAAAGCTATTTTTATGATGCTCAATTCTAGTCTTTACTTTTATTTAAAACTAATCGAAGAACCCGGCGTTGCCCGTGGAATTTTTAGATTTTTGAACATAAGAATCTATATTTAATTAAAGAGCTGTATCATATAAATTTTCGCCTCATCTCTGCTAAATTGTATAACTTTATTAAAATCCAAAGAACATTTTTTGGGACACCCTGTGTATTAAATCTGTTTGTAAGATACCTGATCAAAAAGCTTCTGGTTCAAATTAGCATCGAAGGAGACCGGCATTTTTATACTATATTATGTATTTTTTTTTTGTAATTGTTCTACTTTTACTTTACGTCAAAGTGTATATTTTAGAGTTTTTGTAAATTCTAAATTTAGTAGATTAGATTTGATCTAAATTGATTTAGCACAGAGGGTTGTAATCTCGCAGTTCAATGTCTATACAAACCCCCCTTTTCACACTTTTCTACCAACTCTTTCTAATCTATACAACCCTTGAAAGTGAAAGATTTTTGAAAATTTCACTTTCTTGCGCTAACAGGGTTTTTTTTTTATGGCGATTTAAATAGTGTTCATCATTTAAAACGCTCTAAGCAAAGTGCATTTATGGGTAACTCTGTGAGAAAAGATTTTTAATCTAGATCTTCTCTCTCCAAGAGTCCAGAAGCAACTGATGATTCCGTCCCAATGTCTCCCTCTCCGTAAATAAGATAAAAATCATTAATTTATGATTCTACGCTGTTTGTAATTTCTCAATCCGACGTTAGAGTCTGAACCTAAAAACTCAAACGTAGGAAAATTTTATATTTTTTGTTCAGCTTTGATCTTTTTCTAACCTCATGTAACTCCCGCCATTGCATCAATCGTAAATTACGATTTTAGCTATTTTTTCTGATAAAAGGTGACCCACTCAATTACCAATCATAAAATCAAGCTAAGAGCATTCCCGTGGTTCTCTCAAATTACCCAATGAAAGTTTGAGGCAAATCGGTCCAGGGGTTCTTGACAAACAAACAAACACCCAAACAGATATTACATCTTTATATAGATAAGGGTCTCGACTCTCGATGACTAAAAATTGTTGAAGGAAGAAATAAAAGATGAAAAAAGAAAAATTTAAACATAAAAGTACTTTCAACCAGAAACTATATACAGGAACACCCAACTCAGATATACGCAAATTGTGTACTGTCCACTGTGGGAGGAATGTAAACAAAACCCAATGCCCCCACAGAAGTTGAAGGGAAAGGACTATAGCTCTGATGTGATCTTACAGTCCAACAAAAAACAAGTTAATATATCAAGTTAGAGCGAATACTTATGATTTTTGGCTTTCTGGTCAATACGGAAAATACAATAGCAATATATTCTTATTCCACCCCTTAGGCCCTTTTCCCTCAAAGATGATGCGTTGCCCCTGAATTCTTTGTTTTGATCTCCTCCCACTGCAGTACACAGATTTGACGTACTTAAAGCGTTACATGCAAGAACAACGTTTCCCTTCAGCCCTTTATATAATACTAGGCTTTCAGGACACTTCGCGCCCATCTTCTATTTTAATTGTAAACATTGTGTACATTGTGAAACAAAAACAACGAAAAAAGTTCCCGGATTTATAGCAAAACAATCCTAGATTTTCAAAATTTACTGAAAATCGAATTTTGTCGGCCAGTCTAATTTATAAAATTTTGATCATTAATAAACCGTCCCTGGGGTCATGTAACTGAAAGGTACCACAAACAATTTTGGCCCGATCGGTTCAGCCGTTTTGAAGTTTATTGGTTATAAACAAACTCCAGGACATCCAAGCTAATCAGAGATTAGAAAAAGAAAGGTGGCCAAGTGATATGAAAGATGAAAAAGAATGCTTAACAATGAATGAGAAAGGATCCAAAAATTGATTTGAGATCAAAGAGAAAAATAAATAAAAAAGTAAAGGATGTAGAAAAAAGGGAAGGTGAGAAAACAAAATAGATAAGTAAAAAACACGCGACGTGGAGAAACTTTAAAATAAATATTTTTTTTAATTAACGCTAGCGCTGAAATTTTATTGAAAAATCTTTATATATGAATAATAAATATTTATGTTTTATGCATATTAATATAAGATTTATGGGGGGGGGGCTCTTCTGAAGTTTGTGAATTAAATTTAATAATATTGCAATAATAAAAATTTAAATTGTCCGTGCATTTCTGATATAACATATTTGTATTCGGAGAGATTTTCTCTTTGTATACATAAAAACAAATAAAAATTCGCGGATTTTATAAAAAATGCCGTGGATTGTCAAAACTTAAAGACAATCGAATTTTGTTAGAGGCTAATTTTTAAACTTTCATTCATCATTCATAAACCTTCCCTGGGGTCTAAAGTAAGGTCCCACACAAAATGTGGGCCTGATCGGTTCAGCCGTTTTCACGTTTATTGGATACAAACAACCCAACAAACAGACAGACAAACAATGTATATCAAAAGAAGACAAGTTAAAAAAAAAAATTCTTTTTTTGCTGATATCTGATAAAGTTAAGAATCAAATATGTTTAATCAAAAACCAGAGAACCAAAGTTATGTTATCGAGTCTAATCCCTATATCATTGCAACCCGATGTCCTACAACTTAGATATTTAAAACAATAAATTCTGTTAGATATAAAAAATCTAAGCTTGAAATATTAAAGGTTTGCACTACCAAGTTGCAAAGATATTACGGATTAAAAAAATTTTGGTTGTCGTAATGCAAACACACAATTCTTTCGGAAAATGTTCCTGGTTTAAATTCAAACAGAAACTTTTCACATGGATNCTATTCATTTCATTCATCAATCTACTATTCATCCTATTTATTAATCTGCTATTCATTTCATTCATCAATCTACTATTCATCCTAGTCATTTACTGTAATTCAATCATCAAACTATTAATTTCATTCATTTACTATACTTTCATTCAAAAATGAACTTTTTATTTAATTCATTTACTGTACATATCAAACTATTCATATGATTCATTTCCTTAATTTCATTCATTATTAAACTATTCATTGCATTCATTTAATGTCCTTTCATTCAATAATTACCTATTCATTTAATTCATTTACTGTAAATATTAAACTATTCATTTGATTCATTTCCTGTAATTTCATTCATTATTAAACTATGCATTGCATTCATTTACTGTACTTTCATTCAATAATTAACTATTCATTTAATTCATTTACTGTACATATTAAACTATTCATTTGATTCATGTCCCGTAATTTCATTCATTATTAAACTATTCATTGCATTCTTTTGCTGTACTTTCATAACAATAATTAACTATTCATTTAATTCATTTACTGTACATATTACACTATTCATTTAATTCATTGACTGTAATTTCATTCATTAACTATTCATTGCATTCATTTACTGTACTTTCAATCAATAATAAACTATTCATTGCATTCATTTACTGTACATATTAAACTATTCATTTCCTGTAATTTCATTCATTCTTAAACTATTCATTGCATTCATTTACTGTACTTTCATTCAATAATAAACTATTCATTGCATTCTTTTACTGTATATATTAAACTATCTATTTAATTCATTTCCTGTAATTGCATTCATCATTAAACTATTCATTTCATTCATTTACTGTACCTCGTTTGAAAAACCCAAACATTTTTATTCCAAATATTAAAATAATTTATTTACATAAAGTTGTAATCTCTGTTTGTTTTTTGGTTTGTTTGGGTGTTTGATTACATATCTCAGAAACCCCTGGACCGATTTGCCTCAAGTTTCTATTGGGGAATGTTCTTCATTTTGAGATTCTTAGTTGAAGGGGTACACCTGATTAAGGAAAAATAGCTAAAATCGTAATTTACGAGCAAGCGCGGGTAAACGACGGAAGTAACTATGAGTACCCTGGGCAACGCTGGATTCTCAAGTTTTAGACTGCAGTACGCGAACCTATTCCTGTACTTAATATATTCCTACTGGAAGATTTAATTGCTTTGTAACGATATCAAATTACTTTCTCTATAATTTTTGGATCCCTCTGTAAATTTAAGGATCTTTAATCAATATATTGCAATTTAATCTCTTTTCATTGCCTTTTTAAACATACTTCTAAACTTCTCATTTTTTTATGTTCTGATGTTTCCTTTGATAGGTTGTGTTTATATAAAATATAATATGTTGTTTCATTCATTTTCTTGTGCAGTGTGCACAGCTTGTTTTATGACATGTCACAACTAAATTGTCAAAAATATCTTAATTAGTAAAAATAACAATTATCATAGTTCTAAAACAGTCAGTTTGAATTCATCAGCTTTTAACATAAGAACTTCATCATATTGAAGTTATTACATTAGTATATACAGGGTGAGTCAAAAAAAAGTGTAATTAGCGGCGCCTGGTGCAAAATTGTACCTTATTTGTGCAACTCTCCTGTATGGTGTTTATTCAATATTTTTTGAAAACCTTTTATTTTTTTGGTGTTCCTAAACCTTCGGCGTCTGAAACTTTCTGATTTTTTTTTTTGAAAAATGTTGTTTCAAATACTACACCCTTAGTTTTAATATAAGTAAAGAATTCCATTTAGTCGCTGACGCTAATTTTTATCATCATGGATCTCTTATTGGATTTTAAAGAAACGGACTAAATATTTTGAAATTGTTTTAAAAACAATTTTCTTATTCTATTCCAAAATTTAAAAATATTGTTGCTTGAACACAGCAATGTAGATTTTTTCTTTTTTTGCGCCGTTGTACAGCATTGTTATATTTATCAAATAGCCAACTATATTTCATTAAATGAGATATTTGATGACATGTTTTTACTTTTCTTAAAAGCATTAGATTGGATTTCTTTTTCCCCAAGCTGTAACTCTGGTATCCACACTGAACAGGACCTGTGAACTGTGGTGTGATGAGAACTGAATTATATATATAAATATATTTGGATCTATAGCTGTTTGTTAATGTCCAAAAAAGGTCAGAACAGCTAAACTGATCGGGCCTCGCATAATATAAGTTTTCCGCTTAAAAAATTTGATTCTGGATTCCACATTTTGAAACTTTCTTACCCCTATATCTTTGCAACCCAATGTCGTAGGCCTTTGATATTTCAAACTATGAATTCAGATAGATCAAATCATCTAAGTTTGAAATATCAAAGGTGTATACCATCCGCTTGCAAAGATTTAGGGATTAGAAAATTTGAGTTTGTGGCAAAGACTCAATTTCTTACCTTAAAAGAACTCCCTTACCATTTTGCCTGAAAGCGTAATAAAATCCTGACTTCTATACTGGGATTTCTTGCAATTTCCTATTTTGTGGTATGCAAAATGTTTAATGAGATAGATAAGTAGAAATAAGATACATAAGATACATATTGCAGTATAAAAGACCTACTAAAGCATTTTCACATCATTGCATTTTACGACGCCAATAAATAATTCTTTGCATATTCATACAGATAAAAAATAACAAAAATGGTAAAAAAATGATTAATAATAATTACATTGCTGAATGAAATTAGAGGCCCTATTTGAATAATACACTTTAAAATCTGATTATTCAAAAAATTTTAATTTTATCATGTTTAAATAAAACCCGTTCATGTATTATGTCTAATGTCAAACTAAAGCAATATTAAATATTTTATGTTTTTAAGCAATACTCTTTAGGTTTGAATTTCAAGTATGTAACCAATTAGATAAAATAATAAATTTATGATATTTAACAAGAAAAATGAAAAAAGATTTTTTTAAATCCTTATATACGATTAATGAGACTGTAAGTTCAGTTGTCAGTGTTTTAGCTTTTTGGAAAGCCTATGATATAAAACACGGATTGTACAAGTTTTGGTAAGACATTTTTTCAAATTATTTGCACACAACCCGTCAAAAGAAATTTGCACATTGTTTTTTTCTTAAATACACATCAGGTTATTTTTAAATTTTGCAACATGTTTTGCATATTTGAAATGACATGGTCAAGGGGTTTTCAAAAATGTATATTTTATCACTTTTTGGAGATTTGTTTTTGAAAACTGTTGTACCATATAACTGGATTTTGCCAAAAAATATCAATTTTTGCAAATTTGCAATTTTTTGCAGATTCTAAAAGTAGAGCATAAGAGCTTTCCAATAATGTATTAATTTTCATATTTTAACATCAAACATGGGATTTAGAAGGAGAGTCATATTGGATAGGGTTAAAGCCTTTGTGTGTTTGTCAAGTACAGATATATGTTTGCATATCAGTGTAATAAACGAACACACAAATATTTCAATGGGGTACCCTTCTAAATTGGGCATCATACACTTTTTGCATGATGAAAGGTCACTTGAAATTACGCAGTAGAGCTTAATTTATTTTCAGATCGTCCAATTTGAGTTGTTAATTAGTTTATATATTAATATTTGCACTTGTAAAACATATATCAGTGATTAGAAAATAAATAATGCATCACTTAGATTGTGGTGTGTCATACCGCACCTCCCCCCCCCCTGCAACTTTTATTTTGGATTTAATTCTTTTGAATGATTGATTTTTTAATCAAGTTGAAAAATAACATAAGGCTTATATAAGAATTTTCTTGCGGAAAATGATAAGTTCTTCGAGTATTAAGGGTTTATTTTGTCGTTAAAGATTAGAGATAATCTAATGTGATATGGGACGCTCTGTAAGATCTAATGTCGAGTATATATTTATAACCTAACCATGTTTTTTTTCTATATCTTTCAATATCAAATCAATTCAATATATGAGGAAATAATTAAGAAAAAGAATTTAGCTGAACATATAAGTTATTTACATGCTGAAAATAGAGAATAAGACTGAAAACTTTTGAATTGTGGATATTGAGATCAATCCTTAATCCTCTCTTTTTATTCATCTCAAGATTAATCTAATCTTTAGTTTTATCCAGAATAATAATAAATTCAACCAAAAGAGTGGTGTATCCTGAACAGCCATTATGATTCCGAGAAGATTGAAATTTGGAGTGCCATTTTATAAGAAGAAGCGGATGAAGCAGGAAATTAAAGTATTAACATTTGAGATTCCGATTAAGCAATTGGGATTAAAGATATTAAACTCTAAAGTTCCCAGCAGAGGTCCTTTTTGTTTAAATAAATACAATTGTTCAGGTATTTGAATGAAAACGAGCCCATTACAGCTAATTATATTTGGCTGCATGTGTGATAATTTTCAGAAATGAATTATTTTATTTCTCAAAATCATGGAATATTAGAATCATTCTGGTGAGGCATGGCTGGGTTCAAAGTCCAATCTAGAAATGCTGGTAACATCTAGATCCCTCCGGGTTGAACTAGATTTCTAGATTCTAGGAATAATTTATAAAATTCTAAAAATGTTGAGGGAAAAATTTAGATGCTGAATTCCGAATTCTCTTTCAATTCTGAATTCTATTTCAGTTTCTAATTTATGCAACCTTTAACTGAAATTTGTACTAAATAATATAAAATTTGCAAAGAAAATTACGCGTAGAAAAGGGTGATTTTTGAAAAGGGTAAAATAAAAACTATAGAAAAGCTTCCAATGATGTCGCAAAAAAGATGATCTTCTCATGGGCAGCCGTAGTACATTTTGAATTTCCGAGCCGGGTCAACCTTTCCGATCCCAGTTTGTACTGTATCAGCTCTGGACAGAACTGGTCGGTGCAGACTTTATGCTTTATAGTCATATAGGTTGAATTTACTTTTACTAATGAAGTAGAGGTGCGTGTTTTCTAGCTTTAGAAAAATGTTTCATTGGTTACGTGTCAACTTCTTATATTTTTCATTAACAAAACAAACAATGTTAGATCTAATTTTCGACAAAACATTTGTGTTTATTTGACGGGGTTATATCTGGGGTATATCTGAGGTATATCTGGGGTAAATCTGTGGTATATCTGGAGTATATCTGAGGTATAACTGGGGTATATCTGGGGTATATCTGAGGTATATCTGGGGTAAATCTGTGGTATATCTGGAGTATATCTGAGGTATAACTGGGGTATATCTGGGGTATATCTGAGGTATATCTGGGGTAAATCTGTGGTATATCTGGAGTATATCTGAGGTATAACTGGGGTATATCTGGGGTATATCTGAGGTATATCTGGGGTAAATCTGGGGTAAATCTGGGGTATATCTGAGGTATATCGGGGGTAAATCTGTGGTATATCTGGAGTATATCTGAGGTATATCTGGGGTATATCTGGGGTAAATCTGGGGTANTATTATTATTATTATTATTAGTATTATTATTATTATTATTATTAAATTATTATTTTTATTATTATTATTATTATGAATAAATAATAACTCGGACCGTACATCATTTGCGGTTAGGAGAAAAAAAAGGTGTGTTGCCTTCCCAATTCTACATTATTCGTCCATTCCAACTCAGAGATAAGAAACAAGTTTTATATCGAACAAAATTTGACTTTTTAACCAAGAGCGATGGTTTTTTTTGCCAAAAAGGCAGAATTGTATTCGGTTCTTTCGTGGTTTACTACAGAAGTAAGCAAGTGCATGTGAATTTAAAGGTTCTGTCAGTATTTCAGAAAACTGTGACTTTCGATCACAATTTTACCCCTTTTGCATAATTTTATAGCCTTTTATTTGAAATAATTTTTTTGTTGGCCTATACATTTTGAATGAAAGAGTATAAAATAAACAAATCTGTAAGTTTAAAGCTTGTTGAGTTATAGACTAAAACACGTTTGATTTCAAATAAAATGCTGTTCCTCAAGCTGTTGATGCCTATCATTATACTGATAAGAATGCTGCTGGAGTACATGCACCTGTTGCTGTTCCCCATAGTGCTGGATATGCCTCTGCTTCCTACCATGCCGCCCCTGTTTACCATGCCGCTCCTTATCATGCTACTCCTGTTGTCCACCATGCTGATCCCCACCACACAGATCCAGTTATCCATGCTGCTGCCCCCGCTTCCTATCATGCCCTTGTCCCTTATCAAGCCCCTGCCCCCTACCGCGAGGAGAAGGAGACCCCTACTCCTACACCTACGGAGTATCTGACGACTACTCCAAGGCTGCCTTTAATGCTGCTGAGACTGCTGATGCTAATGGTTCTAATGGATCCTACTCTGTTGCTCTTCCTGATGGCAGAACCCAGCACGTTAAGTACACTGCTGACCACTACAATGGATATGTTGCTGATGTATCTTACGAAGGAGTTACCGTCTATCCTGAAGTTAAGGCCTATGCTCCTGCAGCTCCTTATGCCCCTGCACCTTACCATGCATAAGTTTGATATAATGTAGGATATTTATAAAAATATTTATCTAAAATATATCTCACAAAAATTAGTTTTTGATCTATAGGTTCAACTGCAATATTCCTATACTAAATTAAAATCAAGTTGGTTTACTTGAAAAAGGAACGTTTGGATTTCCGTACAAGCAGGGTTTCCAAACAATAAAATAAATAAGCAATTCATTAATTGATATTCCATTCCTTAACCTTAACTGCCCAAAGTCTGTCAATTCCACGTGTCATAGGTAATTTTAACCCTAATCACTATTATTGTAGTCATGAAAAAATGCAGTTTGGATGATGGACAAAAGACACTTATTTTTATTTTTTTTTGTAAATGTAAATAAAGTTAAAAAAATGTTTCCGGTCACTTATACAATTTGGTAATTTTTTTGTTTGTATCCAATAAACGTCAAAACGGCTGAACCGATCGGGCCCAAATTTTGTGTGGGACCTTGCATGACAACAGGGAAGGTTCATGGATGCTCAGAATTACAAAAAGGTGTATCACAAAAGCTTTTGATTGTTTTGAAATTTTAAAAATGCGCAAAAAATATTAGAAAATTCGCGAACCTTTTTATTTTGTTTTAAACTGTACAAAGGGAAGATGTTTACAGATAGAGCCACAATTAAAAGCTCCTAAAAGCCTAGTATTTTTATATTTTAGTTTTATCCTATTAAACTGTGCACACATTTTACACTGCATAGTCACCTGACCCAGCTTTCTATCATATTACCTGATTAATTTTCAACATTTTAATATTAATCAACTTATTTGGCCAAAAAGTGTGACGCACTTTACGTAACGTAAAAATTCAGTGAATCCAATAAGAGCAGAAAGATGTTTAGATTCCCTGGTATCCCTGGTATCCCTGGTATCCCTGGTATCCCTGGTATCCCTGGTATCCCTGGTATCCCTGGTATCTAAACATTCCCTAGATGTTTTTCAAAGAAAAAGTTATAAATACGTATAAAGAATTTTTGTTATTCTATTTTGTCTTGTATCTAAAAATATTATTTTATTTAGGAATGTCTGTTTGTCTGCGTCTAGTCATGTTAGATATAAATAAAATGTCCTCTGCAGTTACTACGCATAATTCAATCAGAAACATCAAATCTAATTTCAGAAATTGCGTTTGGAAAATTATAAACACATCTTAATAAGTGATTGCCGAGAAATTATTTATGATATTTCTGTCATTTCAGAGTCAAATTAAACGTTCTGTGAAGGATGGTAGGCTGAAATTTTATCAAAAATAAGTTATTTTGTAGATCTTTATAATTCAAATATTTAAGTTTTAATGAAAGAATTTCAAAACATTTTAATTTGATCCTCGGATTCATTTAAAACTTTCCCCTCAAAGGAACTAGGATGCTGCGAAAATTTTCACCTTTTCCTTGCAAATATTTTCTAAGTTAAATAACAATTAATTACAAATACATACAGGGTGAGTCAAAAAAAATATGAATAGTGTCGTCTTGAGCATACTTTTTCTTGATAGATTTTTAAAAAAATTTCGGATTTTTGTGGGCGGAAATACATTTTAAATCGAGACAAATTCGCGAAATTTTTTTGGAGATATGATAAAAATATCTCTGAATTGGTAAACTTTTTGTTCGTGAAATTTTAGGATATAATAGTCTAAAAAAACTTTTTTGTTTTTCTCCTCTTCTAAATTTCATGAAAAATTAAACATTTGTTTGAAGGAGACGACACTAATCATACTTTTGTACTCCCTCTAAGTAAATTAATATTTCTTAGTAAAATCATATTATAATAATTACGTAATGTACATTCTAAAATGTAAAATGTACATAAATATTTTTTTGTTAACTCTGTGAATTAGAAACTTGTCTCAATTGTTTTTATTTGTACGATTGGATTTCATTTTGTTTCTTTTTTTATGAAACTGTTATTATTGAAGGATAAGAAATGTAATATTGGTGTAAAACAAGTTCCAGCTAGAACATATTCAACTCAACTCATCAGAAGGTATACTTCAGAGACGACAGTACGGAATTTATACTGTTTCCTTATATTTATAGTTTTAGCCAAATCATTTAATAAGCCATTAACATACTTTATTCAAGCCAGAAGAATTAAATTATTTAAACGTTTTAAGCAATCTTTAACGTATAATAATTGGAATACTTAGACTAGTATCCTTAACTTTGTTTAATTGTTAAGTAATGCAAGATATTTGGACTTTTAAAAGGTTCCTCAAAATTTTAAGAAGTTTTATAAAGGAATTTTTGCCACAAACTCAAATTTTGTAATCCCTTTATCTTTACAACCTGATAGTTTGAAATATCAAAGGTCTAAAGCATTGGGTTGCTAAGATACAGGGATGATAAAGTTTGAGTTTGTGGCAAAAACTCAACTCAAAACTTTTTTTTAAATCTAAATCTCTTAAATATAAAGATTTGCTTTTCTTTTAGCAAATGCCTTACTCCAACAATTTCTCCTAAGTCTGTAAGAATAGAGGTATAACCATCTTTATCCTTAGGTATCTGTCTTACAAGATACAACTCAATCTAGAACTCCAGATTCCTCAATAATACTTTAGTCAATACTAAACCGGATACGACTCTATCTGTATCCTTAGATATCTGTTTTACAAGATACAACTCAATCTAGAGCTCCAGATTCCTCAATAATACTTTAGTCAATACTAAACCGGATGACTCTATTTGTATTCTTAGGTATCTGTCTTACAAGATACAACTCAATCAAAAACTCCAGATTCCTCAATAACACTTTAGTCAATACTAAACCGGATACGACTCTATCTGTATCCTTAGGTATCTGTCTTACAAGATACAACTCAATCTAGAACTCCAGATTCCTCAATAATACTTTAGTCAATACCAAACCGGATACCACTCTATCTGTCTTACAAGATACAACTCAATCTAGAACTCCAGATTCCTCAATAATACTTTAGTCAATACCAAACCGGATACGATTCTATCTGTATCCTTAGGTATCTGTCCTACAAGGTACAACTCTATCTAGAACTCCAGGTTCCTCAATAATACCTTAGTCAATACTAAACCGGATACGATTCTATCTGTATCCTTAGGTATCTGTCCTACAAGGTACAACTCAATCTAGAACTCCAGGTTCCTCAATAATACCTTAGTCAATACTAAACCGGATATGATTCTATCTGTATCCTTAGGTATCTGTCTTTTAAAATACAACTCAATCACGAACTATAGGTTCCTCAATAATGCTCAATTTCTATCAATCCCAATAAGACACTGTTGTATTTTTTAGTATCTATCCCTGATACACTCTCTTTAATCCTTGATATGTATCCCTGATACAGTCTCTGTAATCTTTAGCATATATCCCTGATACACACACTGTAATCTTTAATGTGTATCCCTGATACAGTCTCGGTAATCTTTAGCATATATCCCTGATACACACACTGTAATTTTTAATGTGTATCCCTGATACAATTTCTGTAATCTTTAATGTGTATCCCTGATACAACTCTGTATTCTTTAATGTGTATCCCTGATACAACTCTATATTCCTTAATGTGTATCCCTGATACAACTCTGTATTCTTTAATGTGTATCCCTGATACAACTTTATATTCCTTAATGTGTATCCCTGATACAACTCCGTATTCATTAATGTGTATCCCTGATACAACTCTGTATTCCTTAATGTGTATCCCTGATGCACAGAACTAAGTCTTTGCCTCTCTACACGAGATTAATAGGTGTATACCTAATGAAGCAACCATACACGGTTAACTAATTTATATATACAGTACTGATGGGTTTTATATTACAGGTTACGTAATTAAGTTAAATCGTAGTCAAACCCATGCACGAGTTCTAAGTCGTAATATAAACAAATGTAATACATCATACATGATAATGATCAGGACCGATAGATTCTTACGTAGTTACAGTCATGAACGTATAATTAATTTAATATTGTGACTCGTATTATGTTGTTTTAAACTAAACATTCTAGAGTTTAATTGCTCATAATTACTGTAGGGTGAAATACGTCCCCTTCTTTTCGTTATTATAAAGCACCTGTTTTTATCCGTATTATGTTGTTTTAAACTGAAAGTTCTAGAATTTAATTGCTTATAATTACTCCATGGTGAAACTCGTTCCCCTTTTCGAACCCCTGTTCTCTGTTAGAGCCAATCAGATCTCATGCAACGCAATTACGATAATTAAGATAATTAAAAAGGTACCCAACTCTTTTCTCCCCTCCAATAGGAACCCTTACTGTTCAATTATGTATCATTATAAATGTAACCAACCAATCAAAATCTGAATAGTTCAATTATCGCGCGCAGTTCCTGCTCCCTTGGGAGTATAAAAAGGGGCTTGATTTCTCCCCAAGCGGAGTTCAGAACAAAAATTTCTCCAGAGTGAAACTGCGTGTGATTCTCCCTATTCAGGTCTTGAAGTTTTCTTTATTACTTTTCGCTTTTGCTCCCCTTTTCTATTTCCAAGTTTAGATTAGTTCTTTTAGATTGATTCTTTTACTCTGAAGGCTCGTACTCATGTATGTTCTCCCTAGTACTTAGTTTTTAGGGATTTATATTGTGTCAGGTTCAAAGATAAATAAAATATCGTCAGTGCTTTTAACTTGTTTATTTGAGACTAGAACTTTGAGTTCAGATTTATTTCAAGTAAGATAAAGAATCACACAGTAGTCAATAAATAAAAGAGAAGGATAGTTGAGCAGTTTGATTTTTGAATATTTAAGTGAGAATATAAAAGTTTTGTTATTCTCTTACAGGGTTTACTACAATGTTTATTACATTCATGCTCTTTGCCAAATAAACTAAAAAAGACATTTGTAAGAAGAAAACTAAATAAAACGAACAAGAAATAACGATAGTTTCCAAATAAAATCTTGATGCTTATGTTAGTTCTTATATTTTGAACATCAAATTTTCTTTTTTTAGTGTAAAGTTAAATTAGGTTTAGAAACCACCAGTAAAAAGTCCTCAATAGTAATATCTAAACATCCCCAACAGGCTGATAAAGTTAAATATATATTTATATAATAGTTAGTTATTGTCAGTTGATTCTTTATATTTTAGTATTCTCACAATGCATTCACAATATTTATATACAAACATCATATATCCAAGGAAAGAGTAATTTTCTCTAGAATAAACATAATACAGCCCTCAGATGGAATACAAATTAAATATATACAGGGTGTCCCAATACATAGCTTAGATGGAATACATATTAAATATATACAGGGTGTCCCAATACAAAGCATAGATGGAATGCATATTAACTATATAGTATACACGGTGTTCCAGTTCAGAGCTTAGATGGAAAATATTAACTATATAGTATACACTGTGTCCCAAAACAGAGCTTAGATGGAATACATATTAAATATATGGTATATTTACAATTCGGTGATGGTGATTGGTGATGGACCAAGCCTCTGTAGAGTAAAAAAAGTAGAATTTAGTTCTACACACGGTGCACGGTGTCAGAGCTTAGATGGAATATACATTAAAGATATGGTATACAAAGTGTCCCAACACAGAGCATAGATGGAGTATATTAAATATATGGTATACAGGGTGTCCCAATACAGAGTTAAGATGGAATATATGTTAAATATATGATATACAGGGTGTCCCAATACAGAGCGTAGATGGAATACATATTAAAGATATTGTATACATGGTCATGGTGTCCCAATACAAAGCTTAGATGGAATACAAATTAAAGATGTGGTATACTGGGAATCCTAATATACAGCGCTTAGATGGAATATATTAAATATTATGAAATGTCTGAAATTACCAAAAATAGCATTTTTTAAGATTTAGATATTCTGTAATCTAGGAACCCCCAGGAAGAGTGGGGGTTGGAGGTTCAGGGAGGATGGGACGGGGAATCAGGCTCCTGGCTTCAAGTCTCCAGAATAAGGCCAGGTAAAAAAATTTACAAAAGAAAATTTTTATCTTTAATTATTATTTTTTTTCAGGAAGTCCAGCAGATTTGGCGGGTAAGCAAACAGATAACAAATACATTGAAATTGAAAATAAAAATTTCTTCATTTGCCACAGGATTAACTAATCTACTGAAAACAGAGTCAGAATAAATTATAGTTGATCCTCATGGTAGGGCTGGGCACGTTCCAACGTTGTCTAGCCGGTTCGTTAACGGTTATAGTTCCAACCTCACTCATGTATACCGAGTCATTAGCGCCTGATCCAATCAGGGTTCAGTCATGTGTTTGTTGTCTATTCTGAACCAATAAAATAGTATGGAGGTAACATCAATTTTTCTATCTAGTTCATTATCCAATCAGAGTTATCAATCGGCGCTATCAGTAAATGGAAATATTTACTTCTACTGAAACTATAGTGACCTTTAAAAAAGAAAAATTTCAGGTAACCGTTAGGTAAGAACTGAACGTTCGTTTCGTTATCGGTATTTTCCAGGTTTTCAAAGTTACCATTAGTTAACGATCTTAATTTTGTTAACGGCGTTATTAGTAGATATTCTGCCCATAATGGTTTTTTGAAATCAACGGCATTGTCATTAATTAATTGTCATTAACAGCCGTTAACGGTTGTTTGTAGTATTAACGGTGATAACAATTCGCCCAATCTACAGTTAATCTAATTGAATTATGGCACAAGCCACCAAATTGAAAACAAATCTTAAAAAGTCCATCATATAGATAGGGTGGGGGGGGACTGAGAGCAACATTTAAAGAATCAAAATAAAAAAAATGTTTGCAAGTTTCATGCAATTTTAGAGGAAAGAAAGAACGAAAGTAGCCGTTTTTAAAAAACCATCCGTTTCCTTTTCATTTTTAATCGTTAATTTTTTAAATGACAAATTAGTATCGTTAACAATTTTAAAATTAACGGTTTTGTTTTTCATTAACGGACTCTTACGTAAATATTCGAAAAACTCCGTTTTGTTAACGGAACTAGCCCCTAGTCCTTGAACCTTTTTTATGGTTTACAGTTTTGTCATGCAATTCCATTTTTGAAATTTTGCGCTAGATATGACCGCCGCTGACGAGAGGGATAAACTTTGTATCTTAACCAGCTGTGATGGAATGAAACTTGAATCATTTAACTTAAAGTTCACATTGTTGATTTGAATTAAGTCGCTGAAGCTAATCGCTGTCCAAAACTTTTGCTCTCACGTGTTACAATTTAAAAGTTTTGCTAACTTAATTCTATTTAAATCACCCACCCAAAAATATTCCAGATGTGCAGTAAGGAAAAAACTAAACCAATTTTACTGCTCAAAGATGCCAGAATTATTCAATACTTTTTGTTCAAATAAAACACCGTCGGCATGCGAAAAATTAGAAACATAGTCTGAGACGTCCAGAAATCAAAGTGAACAATTCCGTAAAAAAAATTTCCTGGCTGATTTTTCCAGGCAAATTAAAAAACAAAATTATTTCTCAGTCAGGAAAAATTGAAAACCCAACATTTGACCATGGAAAAATTCGACCGATACTTCCAGAGCCCGCGTTTTAAAAACTTCGGCTCGAGCCGTAATTCCTTAAACCCGACTTTAAGGCCCAATCTTCGACCCAACTCTGACGACAACTTGTCACGTGATTGACAGCTGCAAGATCTTTGGCTCGACTTAAGGAGTTAGGCCCAATGAAAATAAAACCAACCTTAGTTGGTTTTAGTGAAGAATAAGGCTCAATGTTGACTCTTGTTCTTATCAAAACCCGGAATGCGCCAATTCGTGTCATAAAAATCCGCCAAATAGAATATTAACCCGGTTTTTTAAACTGAACTCTGTGAAAAATAAGATGCAGCTTGAATCCGAAAGCTCAAGCTATAGAAAAGGCCCAACGACAGCTTAGACCCGAGCCGTATTTTCCTGAATTTTTTAAATCGCGGGCTCCGAAAATATTATTTTCCATATTAGACTTTTAATTCCTCCCTGAAGGTATCAAAGTTTCAAATCCCCTGCCTATTCTCTAAAGTTTGAAATAAGATTATTATTTTAGTATTAATTATATATCTTCCATTTAGTAAACTTGAATTCAATATTTAATCTATTTTGAAGTGTTTATTATCAGATTTATTGAAGTATAAAGTGAAAACTAAGTGACGACTGTACGGAATTTATACTGTCCGTTTCCTAATATCAATTGATGTTCTTTCTTTCTTTGTGAAATCATTAATTAAGACATTTCAAGACCACATTCAACTCAGTTCAAGGCATATTTTAGAGGTTTCAACTCGTCTTTACAGTCTTTTTTTTTCGGGTAACCCAGTTCGAAACTTTCATGTTCCTTTTTCTGTTGAAAGTTCTCAGGTGCGGTAATAGATGGTTTTTTTTCCTAATGTTGACTGTAAAACTATAGTTTTCAAACGACCTCAGGCCGAATTTGAGCCGTGGCTTAAATTTAAGCCGCGACTCAACTATGGTTGGTTTCACTTAAAATTGAATTCTATTTTACAAGATTCAAGCAGGCGCTCAATTGAAACCGGTTTGGAGGAATTTGAGACGCCGAGGCTTAAATTCATTAAATTCGGACACTGGTATCATAGTTGCTGTGACCGGCCTCCCTAGCCAGTGGCGCTCGATCCAGAAATTGTCCAGCTATTGCCTAAGTTTTAAACATTAAAAAATCAGGTTTCAGTTTTTGCACGTGTTCAGTTCATTCATAAACATTGTTCCAGGAATCCGAACTGGGGATTTATTGATCAGTTTAGATGGTGAAATAGTTCTGTTCTATCAACAGGTAAACAGAGGGAGAGGGAGGGGAGGGGGGAATGTAAAAAAAGAAATTAGGTTTTTTATAATTTTTGGAAAAGGTGATCTCATAATTTTGATTGTTTCTAATGTATTTGTCTTTTGGTACATAAAAGATAGTTTATGATATCTGTTACTTTTACGAAGAATTTTCAAGTAACTTTTACCATTATATAGTTCCTATTTTACCATTATATAGTTCCTATTTTACCATTATATAGTTCCTATTTTACCATTATNTTGTATGTTGGGGAAAAAAACTAAAATTACACTTATATAGAAAAGTCATCTTAATTGTATTGATGTAAGGAGGAACGACGTCTTTTAGATTAGACTAGAACCACGTCTTTCAGAAGTTCCTATTTTAGTTCCTATTTTACCATTATATAGTTCCTATTTTACCATTATATAGTTCCTATTTTTCCATTATATAGTTCCTATTTTACCATTATATAGTTCCTATTTTTCCCCTGTAAATATTACTTTTTTAAATCTCTTCTCCTCCCCATCCTTGTCTTCAAAAAAATCTTGGAAGAGGTCATGGCAGACATACTTTTCTGGTGGATTCAAAACCAACTTGTTTTATGAGTATGATTTATGGAAATATGTAGTAATGGTTTTAATGAACACAAAATGTTCTATGAATATAAATAAGAATTAATTATTAATTTATCAATTAATGCCTTAATTTATTTTGATAATTCTGATAATTATTATTTATTTATAATTATTTATCTTTTCCCGGTCTGCTTGAGAATATTAGTGAATAAGTTAGACAATATGTCCACGTCTTTCAGATTAGACAGGAACCACGTCTTTTAGATTAGACTAGAACCACGTCTTTCAGATTAGACAGGAACCACGTCTTTCAGATTATACAGGAACCACGTCTTTTAGATTAGACAAGAACCACGTCTTTTAGATTAGACAGGAACCACATCTTTTAGATTAGACAGGAGCCACGTTTTTTAGATTAGACTAGAACCACGTCTTTTAGATTATACAGGAACCACGTCTTTTAGATTAGACTAGAACCACGTCTTTCATATTATACAGGAACCACGTCTTTTAGATTAGACTAGAACCACGTCTTTCAAATTATACAGGAACCACGTCTTTTAGATTAGACAGGAACCACGTCTTTCGGATTAGACAGGAACCACGTCTTTCAGATTAGACTAGAACCACGTCTTTCAAATTATACTAGAACCACGTCTTTTAGATTAGACTAGAACCACGTCTTTTAGATTATACAGGAACCACGTCTTTTAGATTAGACTAGAACAACGTCTTTCAGATTATACAGGAACCACGTCTTTTAGATTAGACTAGAATCACGTTTTTCAGATTATACAGGAACCACGTCTTTTAGATTAGACAGAAACCACGTCTTTTAGATTAGACTAGAGCCACGTCTTTTAGATTAGACTAGAACCACGTCTTTCAGATTAGACAGGAATCTCGTCTTACAAGAACCACGTTTTTCAGATTAGACTAGAACCACGTCTTTCAGATTAGACAGGAACCTCAACTTACAGGAACAACGTCTTTCAGATTAGACATGAACCACGTCTTTCAGGAACCACGTCTTTTAGATTAGACTATAACCACGTCTTTCAGATTAGACAGGAACCACGTCTTACAGGAACCACGTCTTTTAGATTAGACAGGAACCACGTCTTTCAGATTAGACAGGAACGACGTCTTTTAGATTAGACTAGAACCACGTCTTTTAGATTAGACTAGAACCACGTCTTTTAGATTAGACAGGAACCACGTCTTTTAGATTAGACAGGAACCACGTTTTTTAGATTAGACTAGAACCACGTCTTTTAGATTATACAGGAACCACGTCTTTCAGATTAGACAGGAACGACGTCTTTTAGATTAGACTAGAAACACGTCTTTTAGATTAGACTAGAACCACGTTTTTTAGATTAGACAGGAACCACGTCTTTTAGATTAGACTAGAACCACGTCTTTTAGATAAGACAGGAACCACGTCTTTTAGATTAGACTAGAATCACGTCTTTCAGATTATACAGGAACCACGTCTTTTAGATTAGACAGGAACCACATCTTTCAGATTAGACAGGAACCTCGTCTTACAGGAACCGCGTCTTTCAGATTAGACAGGAACCACGTCTTACAGGAACCTCGTCTTTCAGATTAGACAGGAACCACGTCTTTTGCATTAGACAGGAACCACGTCTTTTAGATTAGACAGGAACCACGTTTTTTAGATTAGACTAGAACCACGTCTTTTAGATTATACAGGAACCACGCCTTTTAGATTAGACTAGAACCACGTCTTTCATATTATACATGAACCACGTCTTTTAGATTAGACTAGAACCACGTCTTTCAAATTATACAGGAACCACGTCTTTTAGATTAGACAGGAACCACGTCTTTTAGATTAGACAGGAACCACGTCTTTTAGATTAGACTAGAACCACGTCTTTTAGATTAGACAGGAACCACGTCTTTTAGATTAGGCTAGAACCACGTCTTTTAGATAAGACAGGAACCACGTCTTTTAGATTAGACTAGAACCACGTCTTTCAGATTATACAGGAACCACGTCTTTTAGATTAAACAGGAACCACATCTTTCAGATTAGACAGGAACCACGTCTTTCAGATTAGACAGGAACCTCGTCTTACAGGAACCACGTCTTTCAGATTAGACAGGAACCACGTCTTACAGGAACCACGTCTTTCAGATTAGACAGGAACCACGTCTTTTGGATTAGACAGGAACCACGTCTTTTAGATTAGACTAGAACCACGTCTTTTAGATTAGACAGGAACCACGTCTTTGAGATTAGACTAGAACCATGTCTCTCAGATTATACAGGAACCTCGTCTTTTAGATTAGACAGGAACCACGTCTTTCAGATTAGACAGGAATTACGTCTTTCAGATTAGACAGGACCCTCGTCTTACAGGAACCACGTCTTTCAGATTAGACAGGAACCACGTCTTACAGGAACCACGTCTTTCAGTTTAGACAGGAACCACGTCTTTTAGATTAGACAGGAACCACGTCTTTTAGATTAGACTAGAACCAAGTCTTTTAGATTAGACTCCTAACCACGTCTTTTAGATTAGACAGGAACCACGTCTTTTAGATTAGACAGGAACCACGTCTTTTAGATTAGACAGGAACCACGTCTTTCAGATTATACAGGAACCACGTCTTTTAGATTAGACAGGAACCACGTCTTTTAGATTAGACAGGAACCACGTCTTTTAGATTAGACAGGAACCACGTCTTTTAGATTAGACAGAAACCACGTCTTTCAGATTAGACAGGAACCACGTCTTTTAGATTAGAGGGTAGGGGTTGTGACATTTGTAAGGTTGTATAATAAGGTTGGTCACTCTCGATGCGCTTAAATTTACGGAAATTGTCGTCTCCTAAGATAGATACATACGAGGGCGCAAGATCGTCGAGAAACCTGTCGGTCGCGGGGTGCAATTTAAACTGCCCTTAAATAGATAAAACCAAATATTATGTCACTTATTAAAGAGGCAATAGTGACGTCATATTAGGTTTATATCCATCTATCTCAGGAGACGACACTTTCCGTGCATTGGAGCGCATGGATAGTACTTAACATTATTATACAACCTGGGACATTTGACAGTGATGTACCAAGACTGCTAAAAATCAGTTTTAACAATAACAATAAAAAAGATAGTAATGAACTGTCAGAAATTCCCTTGCCCGGGCTTGTTTACTAACTGCTGATTTAGTTCTATATCCTGACCAGTTAAAATACAGTTGTCGTCGTAAACATCAATACAATGAACACGACTTCGATAGTTATAATTCTTCACAAGTTTTTTAACACCATGGACACATAAAAACATTGCAAAATAAAGAAACTGTAAATTAACAGTTTCTCTTTAATTATTTACTTTTAAACTTGTATTTTGGGGAAAAAAACTAAAATTACACTTATATAGAAAAGTCATCTTAATTGTATTGATGTAAGGTCACAGTAAAATGTAATCGTAAATGTAATCGTAAATGTAATCGTCTCTGAAGTCTCATATTCTTTGTGGGGAACCTAGTAATTACATTGATTTATCTTATTTTTAGATACAGGCACTGAACATCTTATTGCTCTCTAATAAAACAAGTTTAAGAATTCAATTGGAAAGGTTTGTAATTTACCTTTACAAAAGATTGAATTTCATGGGATATTTAAATAGATTTCAAATTTGTTCCTAATTCGGGTTTACAAAGTTTTAAAACATAATATTGTAGCTTTCGCACTTTTTAATTTCAAATTCCAGTAAGGACATTCTAATTTTTAATTTTTTTCAATTAATATATGTATTTTGGATATCGAGATCAATGTTTGATATGATTTTTGGTTAGGCTGCAGATTAATTTAATCTTTATTTTATATCCCGCATGCCAAGACTAGGCGTATTTTGTGATTATATTAACTCGAAAATTTGGCTTTTAAAATTAAGTTTACAAATAAATACCGCCAATTTGTTAAAGACCAAATACGACATTTAATTCGTCTTGCTACTGTCATGTTTCGTGGGACACCCTGTACGAATTAATTGTATTCCTTTTCTATATCCCATGTTGAAAGGGATAGCTATAACTTATGGTTCAAGCATTAAAAAACAGCGTGCAATATCTTTAAAAGAATTTTGCAGATGTCTTTTTTTATCAAGCATTGAATCTCAAATTTAAAAGTTTACACATCGGATATCGAGTTCAAACGTTCAGGATGAACAATATCACAAAAGTTCCGATCTGAGTGCGTTTATTGACGTTACTATAAACTAAGAAAACTTACAATTTCTGAAAGCAAAGGCAATTAGAACAAAACCAGAAAATGAAATCAAAAATAAATGCGTTTACGTCGATTATCAAGATTTTCTTTTTAATAAATATTTTACTTGTATTCATATGGTCCATTCAAATACAGCTAAAAATTAAGGTAGTCAAAAAACGCCAGAACGTCTGAACCGATCAGGCCCAAATTAGGCAACTCACAACCCCCATATGAGTATGAGTATGAGGAAAGGTTAATTTGCCCAGAAAAATATGTAGACCTTTATCATTTTTGAAAAAGTACCAAATCAGACAGAAAAATCCGCGAAAATTTAGTTTGCATAATACGATGAAAAAGGCAAAGTTAAAAGTGTTACAAAAAATGGGTCGGAAGCGGCCTAAAAGCCTAGTTATGTATAATTGTTTTACAAAAATTACTATTTCCGTTAATCTGATTACATATGAATAAAATTCACAAATATTGTTGATAGCTGAAAGTAAACCCACGCTGGAAATATTTCTCTTCCTCAACTGACCATTTATTTCATTTATGCTGACGTCTAATATTTTTCTTCTAAATTGTCTTTTTCTAAAACTTATATTTTAGAAAATAGTATTCTTTCATAGAAAACGGCTTGCTGCAAAAGTATAAATTTTCAGCAAAAATTTAAATTGTGAAATTTAAATTTTTTAGAAAATATACAGTGGTAACCAGAAAACTCCGAAATAAGAAAACGGTTTAGAATCAAGTTATAACTTTTAAAAATCCAATAAACATGAGACACAACAATTGTGCATTGTAAATAAACCCAATTCACTAAATTAGTGATTTAAAAAATGTCTCGGAAAGCTATTGGCTTCGCAATAACATCAAATAGTTTTAAGTATTGAATAATGTCGTCTGCCTATTCCATTGTTTTCTGGTTATCACTGTAGAACAATGGAATCCATCAATAGGAATCCATAAGTTAAAAAAGTAACATGATGGATGAAAAACTTGTCACTAAAAATGATCCGTTTAAATTATTTTCGTATATGTGCTTTTGAGGCAAATACCGAGTTAATAAGTTCTATCGAGTTTAAATAGTTCTTTTAATGAGTTAAAGTCCAATTCTTGTGTTGTGACAAACTTTTCGGTTTATGTACACAGTACACACTGTACTGTGTAGTGCACAATGTACTGTGTACTTAAACTATTTGCACTGTTTAGTGTTTATCAATGATAAAATATAGGAGACTCGATCATATTTAAATCTAAAGAACAGTTGATAAGTTACACACATCACATCTCAGTTTAATTTAAAAATTCAGTAGTGGTCTGAGGCTGTTCAAATTTGTTGACATACCCTTACTTTAGGGTGAAAGCTGCCTAAATGCCTTATTTTACCTTTACCAGACTAAATCCAGATTTAGACCTACTTCTAGTCATTGGATTTTTACTATTTATAGCTCTTTGGAAAGTCTATAACAAAAAAGCAATTGCACAATTTCTACATAAAAATGTTACGTAGATTTGAACAGACGCCTTTAAAGGGAATTTTCACAATTTTACTTTTTCCTGATTACACATGCATAATTTATCATATTTCGCGAAATTTTGTTTTGCACACAATTGTTGATAAATAACTAGATTTCACGATAAATATTTTTATTTTTGCAGTAATATTGAAATAGAGCCACAGGGCTTTCAAGAATTTTATTAAATGTTATAGATTTGTATCACAATAAGGAAATAAAGGGGGGGGGCTCTGTTTGGGTAGGGGTCCCCCCCCCCCTCTATTTGAGTAAACCAGACGACAGGGTAAAGCCATTTTGCTTAAGAGTTTTGGCACTGACTAAAACTTATCTTAAATATAAGAAACTGTAGGTTTGTGCCTTAAAGATATTACTGTTTAGTTTACAGTTTAATGCAAACCATGTAATATTTCATTCTGAGTTCTTTCATTTTTATTTTATGATAAACTTATGCTTGTGATTCATTATCCAAAACTCTGTTTATAAAATTTTGTCTATTTTACATTTTTAAACGTTGGAACGATTTGAAAGCATGAAACTTTAAGTTGAATGCATGTCCTAAGTTTTAGTCACGAAATTGGAATATCTCTTTTACTTTCATTTAAATGTTTTTGAATACTTCAAACTTACTAATTAATTGTAATTTAAAGTACAGAAGTGGTTCTTTAGTTACATAATTAAATATCTAAATGATCAAACCGTGACGTCAGAACCCAAGAAATTCATAACAGTGGGGAGGGTCATTTGGTTGGCTCTCCTTCAATGTTTGTATTTTCCCAACTTTCAAATTATATTTTCTTGAATATCTTACCGTTGCCCGGGTTACTCACAGAGACAATACCGCCGGTTTCCTGCGCTTTAAAATTCAATATTTTTAACCCCTGGAAACCCATGGGTTACCTCAAAAAAAGTCAGTCTAGTTGACCAGCTGTTTGACCAGCTATTGCGAAGTTGCGAACATATAAATGAGCTAAATTAAATACATCACCATATGAATTACCTGGCGGCGTTTCCCGTGGAATATTAAAAAAAATGTCGAGTTTGATTCGCATTTGTTAACCTCTACGCCTACGGGCAACGGTGCCCATGGGTTTTCACAAAAAAATCAGCAAATTTGGTTCAGCCGTTTGGTCAGTTATAGCTAACATTTAAGTAAACAAATATAAACATATATATAATTGAAGAGTTTTACTATATAGACATCTTTATATTTTAATGTGTAGAATGAGTATTCGAAGTGAGTTTCCGTTGAGAAATCTGCCAGGAGGTGGTGGGCGGAGCAATATCAACCAATATGACGAGGGGCGGAGAATTCCGGAAACTGAAGGGCAGAGAAATCCAGGAAAAGAGGGACGGAGAATTTTTGTTGAACCAATCGTACAAAATATTATTTCAAGCACTTACAGTTTATATTCTAATTGTTATAAGTAAACTTTTCATCATGTAAAAATAAGTTAAAGTATACGCTAAATTTGAATTAAAAAGAAACGGTATTTTTTTGCCGCACCCCAAACTTTCTAATCCCTATGTCTTTACAACTTGAAGGGGTGCACCTTCATAGTATCTTGATATAACAGGATAAATGGAATAAATTTGAGTTTGTTGCAAAAACACCATAAATAAACCGTTAAGTAAATTGTTAAAACTAATTGTAAATACAAAGTCGCACATAAAAAAACCTCTAAATATTTAAATCCAGTATATTGCCTTATTTTAAGTGATTACGCATTTTAAAGATCAACACGAGAGCTGAGCTGAAAACTTTAGAATGGATAAACTTTAATCCTGACTTCTTGATCCGAATATCCACTGTGGAAACTTTTCATTTTAGTCCTTAATCCACTCTTTTTCTCTCTCCTTGGATATCCGTTAATTGTTTTCTCCAATGAGAATATTTCTGTTTTCTCATTGGTTGCCTGCTTTTCTCTGATTGGCTGCTACAGTTTCTCAGATGATTAAATATTAATTTGAATTTTATCGTTTTTCATACACTTTTAAGATAATCTTGCAAGATTATGTTAATCTGGAGATTAAGAAAAAGAGTGGATTAAGTCTTAATCCCGATATCCACCATTCAAAAGTTCCCAGCTCTGATCACTCGCCAAAATCCCTGATTTTCTAATCCTATATGTTTGCAACCTATGCTGTGCAAACAGAATCTAGGTTGCAATGCCAAATCAATTAGAAGATTAGTTTGTGTTTAGAACGCACAATGACTATATAAATAGAAGAAAATATAATACATTCACAGATACTATTATAAAACCTCCTTGCACAATCTGTTGAATATTGAGGAAAATTCTATATATTCTGAATATATATATATTATTATGTTATCATGATAACCAACATCTATTCATTGTCAGAGTTTTCCGTCCTAGAAACATTATACAATTTATACAATGGTATACAGCTATATCCTGGTATCCTTGTATCATGTTATCCTGGTATCCTGGTATCCTGGTATCCTGGTATCCTGGTATCCTGGTATCCTGGTAGCCTGGTATCCTGGTATCCTGGTATTCTGGTATCCTGGTATCCTGGTATCCTGGTATCATTGTATCCTGGTATCCTGGTATCCTGGTATCTTGATATCCTGGTATCCTGGTATCCTGGTATTCTGGTATCCTGGTATCCTGGTATCCTGGTATCCTGGTATCCTGGTATCCTGTTATCCTGGTATCCTGGTATCCTGGTATCCTGATATCCTATGTTCGTGTATAAATCCTGAATCTATGAGCTGTGAGAGTGGTGTGTGAAGTCTGGTAGAGTTTGCTACTAATTTTAAATGGAAAAGTTAGTTGAAGTAACAAATAGAATTCTTTACCCGAAGAAAGAGAAAATATAAAATTTCGTTGAAAACTTTTATCTGCATCTTGATTATTTTATCTCAACTGGTTAGAATACAATCGGAGAAAATCAGGAGCTCTGACTTAGAATTTTCTTTACTTTCTTATTTTTGTTATTAGGGAATTGAGTTTTTGCCACAAACTCTGATTTTCGAATCGCTATATCGGAGACCTTATAAAATTCAAACTAATATATGTTTAAAATATCCAAGGTTTGCACTATTCGGATGCAAGATATACGGATTTGAACATTTGATTTTGTGGCTCAGACTTGATTTCTTTGCTTTACTAGACTTCATTTGTTCGGACAAGTTCGAATTTATCCTTTCGCCCTGATCCAGCTCCATTTGTTATGTGTTATTTTTGTTACCCTATCACGGTCTTTTCGAAATAACTTAATATGTGTCACATATTAATTATTTTTGAACATTTTTCCAACCTACATTTTGATTTTTTTTAATCCTCCATTGCACCCTTACCCCTATTTTAACTCTAAGGGCAAAATCATAGGGAGTGGGACAAAAAAAAGCCCAGCTGGGAAAAAGGAAAAAGAAACCGACAGAGATGTTAAGGTTTGTTTTCAAATATAATTTGATTTTGTCTGAAAACCATTATAAATTCAAAATAAATAATTTTAGACAAAATTTTAGACAAAATTTTTGTAGGTTTTGAATTAACTTTCGTTTGCCTTGGGATTAACTTGGGATTAACTTGGGATTAACTTGGGATTAAGAGAAAAGTCATTCCTTCCCCTTGTATTGTTAAGTTTTACAGTTGAGTCACTCTAGTATGCCATTAGCGCCTGATCCAATCAGGGTTCAGTCATGTGTTTGTTGTCTATTCTGAACCAATAGAAATTGCATCTTATCTTTCTATCTAGCTCATTATCCAATGAGAGATAATCCTCATATCAGCGCTTAACAGTAAATGGAAATATATACTTCTACTGAAACTATAGTGTCAAGTCTGATATAATTGACTTAAGTAACACATATTATGAACGTTAGACATAATAAGGATCAAATAACAATATTAAGATCATATATTTAAAACCATAGAGCTTGATTGAAATACATCAGAAAGTGCAGCACCGGCAATGTCTTTAAAAGAGTTTTAAGCTGTGAAACTTGAAACATTTTCGGGCTCTTCTTGCTTAGTTTAGGGTTTAAAATTAATAAAATGGGCGGTTTTCTTCAAATGAAACCCGTTTTGTACAAAATGTTTACAATAACATTTACTTTTCGTCATGACCTAAAGATAGTACAGAGTTTTTACACTATAATAAAACAAATAAACAAAACAAAAATAAGTTCAGTCGACTTTGAATTTGTTAGTGAATTTTTCTTGATTTAATTTACTCAATACTAGGAAAAGGACTTTTGTTTTTAATTTTTGATTTTTACACAGCTTTGAAACAGTATATGATACACAGAAACATAGAAAGAAAGATAAGTTGTCAATTGACAGCTTCTCTGTGTTTACTTGTAAATTTGTAATTTCAAAAAGGATTGTTGGAAATCAAAACTTAAGTATTAAAGTCGTCCTCAAAACGCTGAGCACTGTATATATTTTATTTTAGCGCATTTGTTCCTTACTTAATTCATGAACCATTTTCTTGATATCAATTTGCTTCCCAATATTATTTGATCTTTGAACTTAAGTTGAACCTTAAATCCTCTTTGAAGTTTCTTTGAAGTTTGCGAGGCAAACCTTGCATCCTAAACTTTAACTTTTATAAAACTTGACTTTATGGATGAAGAACAACACAGATAGAATACCCCTGAGGCACCCATGCCGCGTTGAATGACAAGACAAAGAGAGAGCATGCGCGTAACTCCTTTGGGCTTCTGCTTTGATGTAATTGTGAACGAAAGCCCCCTAAATCTTGAAAAGACGACATCTAGTGTTAAATCTGTGTTGTTATTAATGTATGCATGACTTCAACTCGTTCCAAAGCAAAACTAAACTTTGGAAGATCAAAATTGGAATAAAGATATGTAAAACTTCTCCTCACTGAGAATCTGAAAAATAAAAGATTTAAATTTGTACAAGGAACTGTGCAAAGGTATTTTCAAGTGACCCTGCAAAAGACGAGAATGTCCGATTAACAACGGTTTATTCAAAACCTTGGACTGGTCATACAGTGCAGAGAATTCAACATGCTAATCTCAAAATTTAGATAAATAAGGATAAGTTCGTCATCATTGATCATTTATTTTTTTAGGGGGGGGGGGTGAGGAGAATTCGCCAGAGGAAACAGAAAAATCTGAAAAATCTTACATTAACTGTTAAGGGTAAATCTAAAGAGGGAAGGCATATTCTGTAGAATAAATAAACGTTTATGTTTTAACAAAAAAAACTAATGAATGTGAGAATCCAACATCATTGTTGGATAGATTAGAATTGGATCATGGATACAGCGTTAGAATCGAAATATACTATACAGTCCACATAATCATATAGGCTTCCAATATACAATTCACAGAGATAGTGAGCCTGTTTCCGATATTCAGTCCAGAAATCCATTGTGCTTCCCGCCCCTCCTTCAAGTTATCGTCATAACTGTTTGGTTTCCTATTTTTTTACAACCTTATTTTGCCTAACCACCATAATTTTTTGAAACTATCACATTAACCCTAAACAGGCTAGGGGGGGGGGCGTTTGGTGCCCCCCTGTAGTTTTTTTTGTAGTAGAATTAAGAGAAAACTAAACCCTGGAGTAGAATTAAGAATAGAAAACTAAACCCTGGAGTAGAATTAAGATGGAGTAGAATTAAGAATAGAAAACTAAACCCTGGGATAGAATTAAGAGTAGAAAACTAAACCCTGGAGTAGAATTAAGAATAGAAAACTAAACCCTGGAGTAGTATTAAGAGAAAACTAAACCCTGGAGTAGAATTAAGATCCGCTCGCCAGAGTTTTGAAGTGCAATCTTGAACATGAATAGCGGACAGTGTGTTTCAAAATTAACGAAATAAACATTGTTTAACATCCCTTCATTGGAAAATAATCAATATTGAATTTTGTTTTTATAAATAACATATAATTTGGGTCACATATAAATAATTTTGTATCAACAGTATTTTCCTTATATGTTGTCCACCCTTTAGAGGAGTTCTTCTTCTGAATAGAACTGTAGAGTATTATAGAACCTTGATCAGAAACCTTAATATTCCATTCTCTTCATACAGAAAATATTCTGATATATTATCTTTATATACAAAGTTGAAATCTCTGTCTGTTTGTTTGTCCGATCATAACTCAGGAACCGGCCTGGACCGATTTGTCTCAAATTTTGATCGGGGAACTTGAAAAAAACCACGGAAATGTTCGTAGCTTGGTTTTGAGATTTAAACTTTTATATAGTTCAAGTGCGGTGCGGGTAAACAGCAGATGTAACTTTTAGTAAACTGGGCAGTGGGCATTGCTGGATTCCCAAACTATATATATAAATAAAGTTGTAATCTCTGTTTGTCTGTCTGTTTGTTTGTACGATTATAACTCAGGAACCCCTCGACCGATTTGCCTCCACTTTTGATTGGGGAACTCAGAATGTAGTAATTGCCGTACTCATAAAACTTCGTCACGAACTATATCAGTCCAGGTACAATACGTTCGCTATGAATATCAAACAGGACACAATCCACACGGCTACAATCCCGTAAACTATCAACGCCACTACCTCTGGGTGCGATCTCGTAGGCTATCGGTGTCCTCTAGATATAAGCTCGTAACTATCAATGCCAATACTCAAGGTTTGATCTTGTTAGCTATGCTTGTCTTCTAGACACTAGCTTGGAACTATCAATGCCAAAACTCAAGGTTTGATCTTGTTAGTTA